CAACACATTTTCACATAGTTAATTTATACGTTGCCCACCAAAACAAGTCTTCTCTTTCACTTCTCAAGGTAGAACATTTGCTTTTTTTCTATAAAGTGTCGTAAGTACACATTCTTCAAGCTCCTAACTTTTCATGTTTTCTTCAGATGCTTATAATGTGAATCAAATCGAATCATTTTTTAACGCTACAGCATCTATATCCTTTGGACCTAATGAAAATGTTATACATAATGTCGAAACTTCGATGAATAGCAAATAAATCATTCAGATCGCTTTCATTAAAGAAACCTACGCTAAATTTCCCCAAATAGCCAATATGGTATTAAAGGTTTCTATCAAATTATTTGAATAAAAATTGTCTATTAAGCAAGAAAAGTGACTTAGAGATTAATCTACCGTGATATCTAGGAACCTATCTACGCAGAAATAGAAATGACGGGAAATTTCCCTAAGCTCTATTTTCTTATCCTCTTTCCTAGACAGATGAAAAATGGAAATGCTAGAAGAGAGAAGTATTCGGCTATACGAACCATAAATGTTAAGAATTTTCTTGATATCTTTTGTTGCAAATTGGTCGTGCAATCAGAGTGACTTCCATTAACGTGGCACGCTCGTAACCCTCTGACATTCTAATCATGCTGACTTTCAATGTCCGCTTTGGAGGTTGGTATATTCCCTGACGTTTAGCCGGTATCGTCACTCAACCTTGCCGTTATTAACACCAAGTCTCACCTTTAAAAAGTCTCTAACACGACTTGTGACTTGTGACCTTACTTCGACTTAGGCTCGAGATGTCAGTTTCTAGATTTGCCCCAGGTCTTTTATAGCATGTCTACTCTCGCCTCTCTCAGCAGGGCTCCGAAGTCCTGATTCCCAAGACTGCTTATATCACCTTAAGTGCAGAGATCAACATACTTTCCTAGGGAGGGAGTATAACTCTTATTCTAGATAAACTCGACGCTCCTTATCTAAATGTGGGTAGATATATCTCATAATCAGTTATTTCTCTCCCGTTTCGCGGTTCTATACATATTCTGTGAGCCAACTGTAAACTTATGATTCCTTTCTCCTCGGCATCTAGCTAAAGGATTTATGATCGAATTTGCTCCACTCTGTAAGCATAAGGCCGAATTCATATCACGGTTGTGGCCAGATCTATTCATATTCCCTTACTCGCCAAGCTCTTAAATGGTGTAGCTCATCCTTCGGAGAGAATACACTCTCTGCAATTGCCGTCTCTTCTTGGTGGGCCTCTTCTTAGCAATCAATTTTCCAACGATTCAAGATAGCTTCTTGACCCGAGCCTCTCCTTTTGCGGATCCTGCTGTTTTCTGTTTTACTCCAGGTTTGCCTTAAAAATTAGCAAATTTTTCGTGAATTCTGCCTTTTTCTAATCTCTTAATCATTAGAATTCTCTTAGCCTAGATATTGTGTTATATATTTCTCTACCGAGTCGTGTAGTGTGCTTTGACCAGTATACTGGCTTTTCTTCTCTATTCACCAATACACTTCTGCCCAGAGTTGCTACTTGCTATACAATAAAATCCTGAGAAACTTAGTTCTTCCAACCTCGTATGCTGCATATCGAGATGTCTTTTTCGTTTGATAAATAAATTTTCGATATTACCAGTAGTATTCACCTTATTTCGTATAAGGTGATAAAGAAATGCTAGTTTATTCTCCCAAGGTGATATGAGTAGACCTCAGGTTTTCATTGAATTTTACATATTCATAAGGGTCCAACCCAGTCATAGGAGTGATGACACACATTGGAGGCGCCCGAGCTGATTCATCCAAAAGAGGCTGTGCGAGAATACATGATTAGTTTGGCGAACAAATTGGTGTACAGAAGAGGGTGAGCCGGTTGCTTGTATTCGTCAAGGTGGCTAGATTGTGGCATTGGCCGCAGCCAGAATTTATGTGACCATATAATGGGGCCGAATCAACGCAGTAGTGCCAGAGTAGGTGAGACTTGAGGCTAAAGAATCGAGAATTGTGGCATCAACGATCGAGGACACCGGAAGCTGCTGAATCGAAGTCCATTCGTCGGGTGGGCACCCGCAAGAGCTCGTACGTACTACCACCGGGTGGCCAAGGCGAATGATCTGGAGTCAAAATGATCAAACGAGCAGATGGGGTGGGCACCAATGTGACCTCATGTCACATGACCCAACCAGCGACCTAAGATGGCGCCGGCAGTATAGGCTTCTACAGGCTCTAAAAACAAGTTTAGCTCGATAATTTTATGCATGGCCTTAAATGCATAAAAACAAATGATCCATTCCTGAAAGGGGTATTCTTAATGCAGGGCAGATTGTGTGATTCTTCAACTTTTGCTGCAAAAAGGTCATAATTTTTTGGAATAATAGTCAGGTAAATAAAAATAAATAGTGATTGCATTTTGAGAACATTAGACGCTAGTCATATCAAATCGTTATTGATTTATTTATATTTTCATATATATTTTTCCCAATGCATGTGTATCAGTCATGGTTGTTAGAAATCTAAATATTTTCGTAGTGAATGCGTTCCAGGATTCAGGCGAAGAACCAACACCATGTAATTCAGCTTCTTCATTTCGTCTAACTTTTGGTATTGCTAACGATTGAAAGAATTGCTTGTTTCGAGTGTAATATCTGACAATGTATTAATCTAACTTCGTATCATATTAACACTGGATAGCACGCACTGTATTAACTAAATTAATATACATTTTTTTATAGTTTTTAATTATCTTAATCGATTACTTATTAGAATTATATATATTCGTGCATATGATGTGGTCTGACCCAGACATATAGTGCAGAGGACCTGACCTGAGAAGGACAGATAATAAGCTTTGCATTGTGGGGATATATATATGCCTATGCAATAATGCAATATATGTGCATATATAGTTATAATCATTAATCGTACAAACTGTGCAAGATACCAAACAATATGTGGTTATTATTTTAGCTAGCCTAACGATTTCTATATCATGTCAAGATGTTGAAAATGTTGGTATAATGTCAGCAATATAATCAATGCGGCCATCGGTAATTGTTAACTGCCAGTGAGCACCATTTCGAATATTTTTATAGGAACTTATAACAATTTAACTCGCAATTGATTGAAAATACGACTTAATATTTCATTGCTATTCACTGAACCAGCCGAAACATCTCTTTCAGAGAGAATTGTATTTTCAGCATCACCATCAGCTCT